AGTGCCCAGCCTGACTCCCTAGGGCACAGATTTAATTTTAGGCAGATGAAAATTAACCTGATTCCCAACTGAGTTTTCATCAAGGGTAACAACTAGGAAAGGTACATATGGTTCATAAACAGAGCAGATTTCCAGCAGAGCCAATAAGAAACTCGTGTCCAGAAGGTTCCTGCATCATATCCACAGGGAGTTTTCTAACTTCAAGCTACAGCCAGGTACCTGCATGTTGTGCTCAGAAAAGTTATTCCATAATGAACAGGAGAGCTTTGGCCTCCATCTGCCTATTCCTTGCCCAATACTGCAGATATCTGACTGCACCTAAGTGCAGCTTTATTCTAAAAAGCAATTATGTGCAGAAAAGCACCTTCTTACTCAGCATATCAGCACTGTGTGAATTTTGAGTCATATCTGCTGTCGCTGCTGACAAAAATAGATTTATTTATGCTGGTTGGCTGCTAGCCAAGAGACTTGTCGGGGAGAGAAGGGGAGCACAGCCCTGTTAAAGTTATAGGTGGAAGATAATCGCTCAGCAGTTTCCAGGGTTATCTCTGAATAAGCAACCACAAGTGTAACAGTTACCCTAGCCCCAGAGGGGCAGAACAGTCTCAAGGTCTTCACTGCTGCTGATAACACAGGAGGCAAAGAACATAAGAGACCAGTCTGGGCTTGGAGTTGCTGGGTTCAACATTTTGTTGTTATGCTACATTTTCTAGTTGTGTTTTCTAGTTTTCAGCTCCACCCTCTCCAAGTACTGGCTGTATTTTCCGCTCTGAAGAAAGCTCATAGATAAGACCTGTGATCCTATGTCTTCAAACTCAGCTTTCCAGACTGGAAGGTGCAGTAAAACTGTGTTATTTTAGTGAACAAAAATGGATGGCCCAAAGGAAAGGGAACCCCAAACCTCCTTTCAAGTCTGGTATCAATACACAAGGATTTATGCTTGGCAACACCCATTAAAAGAGATGCCACAGAAATACCTGCAGGAGCATTTTTATAGTCTCCTCATCACTATACTATCAAGCACCTCACATTCATCTTCCCCATAAGTCTAGCCCTAAGCAGGTAACAGGACAGTTAGCTCCTGGGTTGATAATTAAAAATTATCTTCAGATGTTCCCTGCATACTTAGTTTGACAGAGCCATCCATTCCCAGCAGGATGTTGTCGCTCTTGATGTCTCTGTGAATAACTTGGTTTGAATGCAGAAATTCCAGAGCCTGGAGACACTGGGGGGGAAAAAAAGAAGAAAAAAAATCATTTTTATTGTGCTTGAGGTTATTCACCTGCCATGATTAGCCAGCTAATGGATGAGTAACGTGCATTTTCAGTAGCAAGGGCTTGTTTTCTTAGAGGCTTTCTTAGATGCACACGACATATGCAGGACTGTGCAGAGATATCCCACTGGGATCGTCAGGTTCTTTGAGGGCAAACTGGTCCCTGGGATCTCTGGGGAACGGGGGTAACCAACAGGATCCCAACTCCATTTGGCATTGCAGCTCTCCCTCTTGGCAGTATCAGGCGTAGGCTGTAATCTCTCAAATTAAATCCATCCCAAGAAAAAAATCCATAATTTAATGGCAAGGCAGCTATCCCTAGGGAGTCAGTAAGGCACCGTGGGTAGCTCCTGTCCCCTTCCTGATCCCAGGTGGCTCCCAGGGCTTTACCTCTCGACACACTGCTGCGATCTGTCCTTCGTCCATGCACGTCTCCGTCACAACGTCTGTCAGGGAGCCTCCTGCCAAGTACTCCATGACTACCCACAGCTCTTCTCCTACAAGGTAACTGAAAGCCAGGAGCAGGTTATAAAATAGGCAGGTATCTGCACACCCCCATTTGCCAAGCCAGAGCAGACGGCATTTTAAAGCTATTCTATAAATGCAGACAAGCCATGAGGCTTCAGCAGCACCTTTAGCAGTACTGGGGGTATCAGTGATACTCTGGGGGATCAGATCACAAATTGATGGAAGAAAACAATCCACCGTTTGAAATTTCTGTCAATTCTGGGAAAATACATCAATGCAATCTGCCACTACAGAGGGAGCTGCACAAAACACTCCTGAAGGAAGGGACTATCAGCTTGAAAAATGTAATACGCATTTTCTCAGCCTATCTCCACATTTTTAAAGGTCAGGAGACAGGTGAGCCAAGAGAGAAGGCAGAAGTCAAATTAACAGCTTTGCTGACATTAGAGTGGAGCAAAGCTGTTGGCTTGCTCAGAGACACTGATCCTGTGGAATAAGGATTTTGCTGAGAGCCAAAACCAAAAAGCAGGACAGGTTCTGCGGAACAGTTAACTTGAGAGGAACTGTGAAGGACGAAGAGGTTATAAAATGTGACGGGGTTCGACGAGCAGGCAGAGATGACTGAGATAAAACCCACAAGACTAAGAATTGTGGTCTGAGCTGGGCCAGGATGACATTGTTCCCACTTAAATATCTTAGGAAAGTGTCCCCAGCTGCCAATCCCTTCCCCTCAGAGGGGCACACCGGTCAGTCAGCATCCTAAGCCTTCTTTATGGATAAACCCTTAAAGTCCCCTAACATTCTGCTTTGCTCAGGAGACAAGAACATTAGTTACAGGTTTCTGCAGCAGTGACACCACTCCAGCACCATCATGTACACAAGAAGTTAGTCTAGAAAGAAATCAGTGTTTTCTTTTCTTTTAGCATTTCTGTGCCACACTTCTTCAGTTTTTTACATTGATTTTCTAACCTTGGTTCAGTTTAGGAAGGGGACTGTGATTCCATAATGATGGCTACCATGTAAGACGAGGATTTGAGGGGTTTATTACATGAAGAACAGCTTTAAGAAGAAACCAGGGGCAGATGTTGGCTTTGCCTGATGCTCAGCATCTCACATCTCACTTTGGGTATTGGGTCTCCAAGACCCTCTTTCACACCGTGGGAGAAAAAGAGGCACTTCCAGGTGATTCTGCCTCAATAGCTCCTTGCCGCACAGTAAGAGGAGTGTCCTGGCAGTGCTCAAAAACGTGCAGATGAGGCACTTAGGGACATGGCTGAAGCTTGAAGGAAGCTTGAAGGAATCCCCTGCGCTCATCGTGGGAGCTGCTGTCTCCATTTACCACAATCCAACAAAAACGAATCCCTCTGAAAAGGGTTAGTGAGAGAAAGGCGAGGACAAAGGCAGCAGCTCCTCCAGCTGGAAGGTTAAACAGGAAAGCAGGATGTGCAACTACCCTACAACTAAGATGTCCTGGCTGGGCAAGGCAAGGGCTTGTGCATGGAGATGTTCAAATGGAAGAGTAGGTGTCTAAAAGAGCTATGCCAAGAAGCCTCTAATTAGCCACGAGAAATACTCAGTTTCAACCCGTATGCACTATTTTTAAGTGTTCTTTTCTATCTGTTTCATTCCACACAAGTAATAATCCTGCGCACACACACCTTCCACAAACAACTTCCCATCCCTTCAGGACAGGAGCCCTTTACAGCTGTGCACACAGGACACAGCGGCATTTGAACTCAGCATCAGGATTGATGCTGAAGTATTTGTTGATATGCAAGTATTTGCTTTGGCTAAGACATCCAAACAGGCCTGTTAAGGGAACAGCAGATAGGATTTTGAGACACATGCTGAGTAGTACCCAAATATTCTCTCAAAGTTCAAGGGAGATTCTAGGCCACGTCCCTCCATAGTATCTTTAAAAGTGAAACGAGCTGCCAACATTGCTTTGGCTAAGACATCCAAACAGGCCCGTTAAGGGAATGGCAGATAGGATATTGATACACACGCTGAGTAAAGTGTCCAAATACTCTCTCAAAGTTCAAGGGAGATTCTAGGCCACGTCCCCCCATAGTATCTTTAAAAGTGAAACGAGCTGCCAACATTCAATTCTGCAACTCAGCCTCTTGAGACACCGTGTTACCCTACAACAAACCAACCCTATAGTTCACCAAGGCTGCTGGATTGTGCCACGAGTGCAGCAGGCTGGAAATGCTGCTGCAGCTTCACTGCAACCAAGTGCTGTATCTTCAACGTGAGTGAAGGGTTCAGGCTTGATCACACCAAAGCCCAGTACAAACGACCACACAAAGCTGCTGCCTGTTCAGCTTTTACTGCTCCCTGGATTTCAGCACCTGCAGCTTGTGACTGTTTCCTAGAATCCAAGCAGAGGATGCACAAGCAGTCCTTGAACTTTAGAAGCACATTTACCTGTAGCTCCTTCTGAAGCTGCCAGTCTCTGAAGAGCTGATGATGGCAGCACTGCTACCATCGCCCTTATGCACAGCAACAACATCCCATCTGCAGGAATGTGAGTTTTTACCTCACTCTCAGACATACTTGTTTGCAGACTTAAATATTTTACTGCCTTGGACTACAGAGTGATCACAGTGTTCAGGGCCATGCTCCTGGTCAGGACTACACGAATTTATTTCAAGAGGTTACACTCAAGGCAGCTGGCCTGACTACCACCAGCACACACACAACAGCAGCAGCACTGCTTTTTTCTGTTCCTTGTAATCCTGACACAAGGAACAACAGCCCAGGGACAAGAATAGCAGGTCTGTACATACACAAGCTCCTAGGTGGTGCTCTGCCGTAAGGAGAAGAGGGGATTCAAGGGGGAGCCTCTCCATATGGATGCAATATGCCCAAGGCTAAGCAGAAGTGACCGTGCAAAGTCCAGCTTTGAGCAGGGAATTATCTTGCTCCCTCTGTCTTCCAAAGTTGTTTTTTTATTTTTTTATTTTTATTTTTTTGGTCTTTTTACCTACTTACTGTGCCAGATCTCTGATCCCAGACCTGCAATTGCATCTCCAGGAGTGAGTTACCAGGAGCACAGTTATTTTTCTGCTCACACCCACAAGAGAGCAGCCTTGCCAGGCTATGTGCCACATATCATTCGTCCTCACTAACGTTATGCTGTGGTTCAAAAAAAAATTATAGCAGACAATCAAAAGGAAAAGATTATACTTCTTTGCAAGCAGAAAGTGGTGCTCAGTGGAAGAATAGAACAAGAACAGCACAGTTCAAATTGCTGCCATCTCTCCACCAGTTGCAGGAAGGAAATGACTTAAAATGTCAGATTTGGCAAAGGAGCGGAGAATCAAGCAGAATTCTCACAGCCTGCAGCTAATGTCTTTTCTGCCATGATCCCTAAGGAAAGCCTGGAAACAATGCGGATTCATCTCCTTCTCCTGGGATATAGATAAAGACCTATAAGGCACCCCCAACCCAATGTCGCCACGTGCACTGAGCACTGCAAAGTTGTCCTCTACATGCATGAAGCTGAGGATCGCTTAGGATGGTGACAAGGAAGGGCCAGAGCCCCTTTGTGAACTCTTCAAAACATCACTTACCTGTCCAAGTAGTTGACAATGTTGGGGTTTTTGTTTTCCCTCATCACAAGAATTTCATTGATAATCAGTTCTTTTTTGGGCTGCTGCTGCAAATTCATCTGTTTGATTGCAACCTGTGGTGAAGCAAGATGAAAGTGTAGAGCATTACTAAAGGTTTGCCTAGAAACCTGCCAGTACCAGTGATTATTTTAGTGCCATACTCACAAAAACAAAGGGGGAAGTGGCTTTATCAGCATGCATTACTGAGCCATTTCATAGCTCGGAGTTCCTCCAGCCAGTCTGTCTCCACACATATTGAGTTATTAATGCCAAAAATATCATACTGGACTTTTCATATTGGACTGTGGTGCCATAGACATCTCAAAGCTTTTGGTTAAAGAGCAGAGATCCCCTTAATCTACTATAGACTGATTTATCAAAGATGTATTTCTTTTTAAAAGATTCTTATTAATTTTATTTTGGATCCTTATTAATTTTACTTTGGATCAGTCATTTCTGGAGGCTTGGGCTTCTCTCCATCTCCAAACAATTCCTGTGCTTCTAGAGGGCTGCAGCAGGGCAGGAGATCAGGGAAGAGATAAATTATATGGCCTAAGCATAGTTCGACGAGGTAATATGTAAAAACAAATTAAATAAAATTATTAGTCATCTGTCACAACAAGACCTAGGGGGAAAGAAGTTCAAAGTTTAGATACCTAAAAATACATGAATTGCATCAGCTTCATCCCCAGTTGTAACGAAAGGAAACAGGGGTGGGTTCTCAGCTGTGGTCCTTTGGCTTTGTCACACTTTACCTGTTTCCTTATTTACCCACTCTGCACAGAAATGAGTCAGATACAGCGTGCTGCAAACTGCTACAGTCAACTATGTGTAACACCAGTACTTCATGAGCGACTGTACCTGGTCCTAAGACAAGTCTGCAAATCTGTAAGACTTCTTAGCACAGCAGGAGGCAGAAATGCTCCAAAAGATGCTACAATCCAACTGCATTTGTCAATATTTAGGCAAAGAAATGCAATTGTGCCTTTACAAAGCAGCTACTTGCAAAGCAAATGGCAGACGCTAGAGAATGGGAGCCAGAAACTGCAGCTCTCAAAAGTAAGGAGTAAGAGGAACAAGCCTTGGAGTGCTGATATAGAGATACAATTATCATTTTGATAGCATAGCAGGAGACTCTATATAAAGTCCTGACACGTGAGATAGGAAGAACAGACGAGGCACCATGCTGCTTTTCCACAGTACTTACAAGGTTGCCAAACTTTGCCCAAGTTAGACAGACACAAAAACCCCATGAGGCTTTTGGAAAAGACCAGAGAGGAGAATGGAAGACAAAGAGAGGGAAGACATTTGCTACATACACAGAAATCCTCGGTTCAGTGCTAAACAGGCTTCCAAGAGGTCCCTGTGCTTCCTCACTCCCATTCAGGGCTAGGCCTAGGTGTATAAAGGGGCATTTTCCTTACTGCAGATGTGTGTTATGAAAAAAAAAGCATTTTTACTCCCAAGAGTTGCCTACAACTCTTGTGTATTGCACAGGAAAGAAATTTCCTTCCAGGGCTTCTAAATGGAGCAAAAAGGACTGGTACCAGCAGCCACCAGCCCTTGAAAGAATGGAAAGAGTTAACAGAATACCAAGACTTCCAGTGATCCCCAAAACCATTCTAAAAATCAAGGGCCGGATCCCACTTGTATAATGGGAATGATTTTAAAGCCTGCTGTAATAATAATTCACATGTAATAACATTCACATGGGAGTCACTGAAGAGGTCCAGAAGGAAAGCAGAAAACCATCAGAGAACCGCCTCCTCCTCCTATAAATTTCCCATTGCTTCAAAATAAATGATGCTCCCCTTCTTCAGCGGCTGCAGCTGAACCATATTATTGCTTTGGGAATTGGAGAAAGGGGTAAAGTACTTAGCAAAAGGCAGAGAGTTATGAAACTCCCTGGTGGGCAACCCTAACTTTGTACCAATGCCGAGCAGCCGAGCAGTGCAGCAGACTTCCATAAATATATATGGAATAATGCATACATTTTTCTCTTTAGAAATCTTCCACCGAGCAATATTTGTTTCCATAGATGCTGCATAGCCATCACGACGAGTTTATTATGGATAAAGGCCGTATGCAGGGCACTCCTGAATGTTCAGGAAAAAAAAAAAATTAAACGTATTCCTTGCCTCAGTTCAAGGGCAGAAAGTGAGAGGGCAAAGGGTGGGTGAGGAACTATTTCTATGCAAGTCAGCTAGCGTAAGCGTAGGAAGCAAAATAAAGAGGAGAAAAAAATGGGGAAAGACAGGAGCCTTTGGGATGAAAGAGATAGGAATCTTCAGGGTCACAGAAAGATTCTTTACAAATACAAAATGGTTCAGGAATGAAAACGTGGGAATTCATTTTTTCCAGTTGTCTGCTCAGACCACTCGACCGTGCCTCATTAGGAAAGGAAATAAATACCTCATTAAAAATGAGGTGTCATGAACCCCTGAAAGAATGTCTTTGTTTTGTGCCATCAACCAAAACTTTCAAAATGCACTAAAGGGGTTTTCCAGCAGCACTTACCTCCTGTCCTGTAGCTACATCCATGGCCGTGTACACAGTACCTGAAGCTCTAAACAAAACAGAAGAAAAAACCCACATTTATTAGTGCTTCCTGGCTAGGCTGAAAACTCCCTGCTCTGCTTGTCCTCATAAAACACTCCGATTCCCTTTCTTTGCCATGCAACAATTTCAGAAGTAAACATCATCTGAAATATTTCTGTATTTCTGAGCCAACTTTGCTGGTAAAGCAGTGGCCAGAGAGCCTAAGTGGAATAAAGCTCCTGACACGGGACAGGAGGTGCCACACGGGACAGGAGGTGCCCCCAACCCTCTCCTGCTAAACCAGCAACAGCTGCAGGGCCATGAGTTGATCCCATCTCAGCTGGGATCAGAAATCACCATCGTGGCCTCTGCCCTGAGCCCTTTTCTGCTAAGGGGGCCACAGCACCAGCATCAAGGAGAGATAATTCAGAAAGCAAATCTGTAATTTGAAGGTTGTCTTGTACACTGAAAATAAGCGGTTTCTTCCCTGGCTGCAGCTATATTTAGCAACCTCATCATCTAATGACATATTTTCTCGTATTAAAACACAATCACACAAAACCCCCAGTCACTGTGACTCGACATTTGCCACGAACAGGAGAAGAGTGGAAGGAAAATATCACCATCAGCATTCCCACAAGCTTAGCCTGGTTTCTCTGCTTCCTTCTCAGTACAAGGAAAGGTACAGGACGGAGAGGGAGCCGATACCAACCCTTGTCCAATCTTCTCAAAATGTGTGTACTTCTTCTTGGGATCACCCACGCTCACGATACTCCCTACAGGAAGAGAACAAAAGAAAAAACAACTGAGATTTTTAAAAGTTCTTTTTAGCACAATTAAAAGAACCAAAGCCTGGGCAAGCACATGGCAAGAGCGGCCTCGTGGCCGCACCGGGCTCCGCAGAGCCTCGGGAACCACTTGTTTCAAATCCAGACGAGCACGATACCAAGGAAGTCCTCAGTTATTTACACTCATCATAGCTGTGGCCTTTCCCTCTCACAGATATTTCCCATCAGAAGCGCCAGAAAACAAACATTACTCACATATACAGCCAGTTACTGCACGCTGCTCTGCACAGGATGTGGATACACTGCCCTGGCCTGTGCAAATAGTCATTTGCTGAAAACCTGTGATTTTCAGTCACCCCAAACTTCAACAAATTGGATGACCCAAGACTCCTTGTCCTTGTGACATCCTCAGAATTTGGACTCTGAGGTCCCACTTTCCGTAGAGCTCGTGGCTGCAAGCTAGCCCAAGACTTCCCTACTCCCTGACAATTCCCAGCAGAACAAAATGTTTTCTGTGTTTCCACACAAAACAGATGCTACTGACGCAATGCCTGCACTGAAAACAACTTAGGGCATATTTAGAGACCCTTCAGAGCAAAACTCCCCCAGGATGGCCCAGGCAACACTCAGCTGCTCTGCTGGGAACCTGATGGCTGAGGAAGTGGTTCTGGTTTCAAGAGCAGTTGCCAAGGGAGGACAGCACCGCTTGGCACCATCTCACCTCATTCCTCCTCCCGTGGCTGTTCAGTTGGAATAAAGCAAATTACTGCATCCCTCCCAGAGAAGACACTTGGTGCTCCGCAAAGCGGGACCGAGAGGGGCAGCTTGGGCTCAGGGAGGATTTGGCATTGATAAGGACACAGAGCTGCTTTCACAGGGGCTTGGGGATGAGCCTGGCAAGGAAACTGCACTCAGTCATCAGGCCAAGGCACCCAGCAGCAAACAGAGCAAAGGCTGGTTATTTTCAGACATCACTGGAAAGCAGCCAAACCTGCAGAATTCGGGGTAGATAGAGGTAAGGGGAGGGGAACATGATGCACCTTTGCGCAGGAGAAAAGGAAAAACTAGACTATATAAATCCCATTAAGAGCCCTAACAGCTGCACTTGCATTTCTCTTGATTACAGGAGTGAGTCTATTCACACTGCAATAACAATCTTCTCCTACCAAGCAGTCCCTGCTTGTTGTGCCTGTTCACCAAAGGGCTTCAGTTCTTAATGCTACACGTGTCCAGCCTGACATCAGTCAAGCTGCTGTTATGACATGACGGGCTTCAAAAAGTAGTTTTTAGATAACAGTTTACATGGCACCAGTTCAATTTAGACTCCATTTTAGAAGAACAAAGCACTTAGATACCTATTTATTACCTTTTTAAGCCATAGCTTCATATTAAATTTCACTTCATCCAGCTATTAGCTTTCCTTTCATAACATAATGACTTTTTGGTGAGCAAACCCTCAACAGACACGACAAGTACGACTATAGGGGTGCTAACCAACTGACAAACAAAGTCTGTATGTCATTAATATAGGATTAGTAGTTAGAAAATCAGGTACCCTGCACTGAGGAAAGCAATCAATGGCACGGATGAGCTGGGCCAGCTGTCAGATGCTGCCACCAGAGCGTATCCAAACCATGCCAGGCTGTACAGCAGCAAGTTAAATAAGACCGGCGAGCTGCAGGTTGGGACTGTTAAAGGCAGTAGCAGGACACGAGAGAGACATTGATAAGCCATCATTTTTTTCTCAGAAACGACCACTAATTTGGGTTATCCACACCCTCCCTCTGTGTTTCAGCCACAGCAGGATGCTCTGCTCACCTCAGGTCTAACATTTCACACTCCTGAGCTGCGGAATATCAAAATCTGGGACAATCTCAGACTTCACACCTAAGGAGATGTTACAGAACCAGAGCTTGTTTTGCAGACCCTGAGGATCTGCAGCTCCCATGGGACTTCAGTTAACAAAGTCTTCAACAACAGATCATAAAACACTGAGGTAACATCCTCATGTTAAGAAATAAACACAGTAAGAGCAGGACTTTAAAAATCAAGGAGGACCTACTCAGTTTTTCCAGTATCTCTTCATCCGACATTTTTGGCTTTTTCTTCTGTTTCTCCGTGTTCCTAATCAGCATGTCAGGGGCTGCCGTGTTGTTTTCGGTGGGAGAAGAAATCGGAGAGGTGGCCATGTCTTTGGTAGGAGGAGGAAGGGGGTCTATCACAGAGCGGGTGTATATCTGATTGGGGGGGTAAAAACACACACATCAGTAACAAGGCAGATCAAGAGTTGACCATTTCTAGTCATCTCTTGTTCTGATGATCTTTTATTTTTTGGTCAGTGATGTATTTCTGCAGCTGATGTTTTAACAGCTCCCCATCTCCTCCCTCCTGCTCCCAGGAGGGGCTCTGCCCCAGTCCCCACACGATGCATGAGGAACCACAGCCGAAAGCTGGCTGCAAAGGCAGGTTTTGCTCACAGATTTTGTATGTTCCGGGCGTGGAGCTATCACAGGGGGTGGAGCTGCGTCGTCTTCATCGTCTTCATCTTCAGACACCGAAGGCACTGCGGGCGTCTCAGACACAGCCTTCATGTTCTGCACAAACAGCAACGAAACCCCAAAAGCCTCGTTAGAAGCAAATCACAAATATTGGGCGATGCTCACAATAAAGAACACACTGAAGCAAGCACAAAAGGAGAAAGAAAAGATATAAAGTTGCCATATCTAAAAAAATCCAAACCCAGATGGCTCTCATTCTACATGGGAGGCATTTAGGGGAGCAGCCCAGCCCACTCTGAGGCTGAGTTCACGCACAGCAGATCATTCACCCCTCTTCATGTTCCTTCTGTTCTGCTGCTTGTGCTGAGCCCTAATCATGTAGAGATTTCAGTCTTCCAATGATTTATTTACACCCAAATCTAAATGCTTTCTCTAAAAATTGGGAGGTCAAGTTAACATCAGTTTTGGTACTGTGACTCACACTCAAGTAACTGGAGATTTTGGAAACATGATCTGGTAAAAATCTTTCAAATCCCTACTAAAATCAATTCCAAAAGGAAAATCTTACGTAAAATAGGAACAAGAAGTTCTTTAAAAGCAACATAAGCAGTTAAAAAATAATCTGGAATAGTGTGGTTCAAAGTCAAAGCCATTTCTCCCCTTATAATTTGAAACAGACTGGATGTGAAGTTCACAGCATCCTTCACACTAAACATTTCGGAATAAACATAGCAAGTCTCTCAATCCACTAGACCAGTTATCCCTGTGCTCTTGCTTCCAATTTGTTTTCTATCAGCTACCTAAGAATGGCAAGGGAAAAAAATGGCTTTTAAAGCATTACACTGACATGCTCTATCAAATAAAGGAGAAAATGTAACATTTCACTGAATCAAAGGGTTTTGAAGTCACTGGCATTCTAACATAAAATTGCTAATGTGCCCTTGACATATTGCAAAAGCATAACATGTTCAAAAAAACAATGCCAAAATGCCTACGTACTGGGAAATTTTCTGGTTCTCTCCAACCTTAAAGGTTATCCGGTGCCTTATGAAAAAGAATAGGCATCTCAGTAGGCTCGTAAGTACTACTACTTTCAGGATTTACTTTCAACTCCAAAAGCCTCAGGCATCCTAAGCCCCTGAGCACTGGCACACAATGAGGCGAAATAATTCCTAGAGAAAAGAAAAGTTTCCTTTTTATTTTAGCAGAGAGCCCCTAAATGATCCGATAGGAAGGAATACGCTGGCTCCGGAAGGGAGCAGAACAAGCCAACTCCAGATAATGGCCCAGCAGTGAGAAAACAAGAGACGAGGGAACTGTGGGGTTTTATGAATCATCTTCAATAGAAAGTTTTGTTTATTCCATCCCTCCCCTCGCCCCAGACAAACATTACAGAGCTTTTCAGTTCTGCCTCCCAACGTGGAGGGCAGGAGCCGTGTCTGCTACGGATAGAGGAAAGGTCAAGGAGAGAGGAGGAGAAGGAGAAAGAGGAAAGGTCAAGGAGAGAGGAGGAGGAGAGGCTTTTACTTCCCTTTCTGCCAAGGGTGGCTTGGTTAATCAACACTACTTCAGTCAGACTTTGCTGGTTAGTAATTAAACTTCATTAGATGGCAGATGTTTACAGAGACAAAGCCGACAGGTTATCATCATCCTCGAGATTCCCACACCCAGAGGAAACACATACAGAACAATTTCTATGGAGAATTCACTATTCACTAACAAAAGCCTCTTGTGTCTACTTGATTCTCTCACAGCTGAAAGAAAAAGTTCAGATAAGTTGTCAAATACATACACACATATGTATGTTTAAAAATAGGTGAGTGGGAAGTGTTCATAAATTAATATGTGTTTAAAGGCACCATAGAGACACAGCTAAAAGTGCCTGGCTACACTTTAGATAGCCTCAAGATGAAAGGGAAGGCTGATGAAACAGTTTCCATGTAGCTATTCCATATGTGCTTTTAAATTCACACACTTGAGAGATAACATGAGGTTAAGCTTACCAATGTGTTTGATGAATGGTATTCCTCCGTTGACTTATCTGAAAAAGAAAGATATTAATAAATAAATAACATGAACAATATGGAATTATTTGCAAATGTGGCTAAACTGGGGAAGGAGAGAGGAAAATGGTCCCTTCGGAAAGTGCTAGACAGGGAGAACTGCTGCTCTCAAGTCCACACTGTCTTGCCTGAATTTCCACACTATCTTGCCTAATTTCAAACACTTTGGCAAAGGCAGTTGCTGTAGATTCTCTCTACAGAGAGCAGAAAAAAAAAATATATATATATATAGACCAGCCTGTCACTCAGATGGAGTGTAGACGATGGACAGGGAAAGGAACATCTCATTTAGGCAGAAAACTGACCCTCTCCTTCCCAGCTACAGCCTGAACTTCCAGGCCAAAAGTTTTCATTAGTTCTTCGACGTTAAAACCCCTGAAGCATCTGAAGTCGTGTTGCTGCCCAGCGTTAGGACACCGCCAGGATCCAGGACACAAGCAATCCTTCTGCAGGGTATCCAAACGGATAGGTGCCCTCAAAGCATACCAGGAAAAGCCAGGCCTGAAGAGAGGCACCATTTGCTTTCAAAAATGAAAGAGAAAAGTCTCTCATGACAGACCCCACCTTCATGCGTTATCTCAGGACACAGCAATGTGAATCACAGCTTACAGGCAAGCCCAGAAACAAAATTAATCATTTCAAATCCAATTAAGCTCAAGAGAACAGAAGGCATTTTTTAAAGGTTTCTGACTTTCTGGGCTTGTTCTCCTGGAATGATCTATAGGTTGGGTGCCATTTAGAGGCCCTGCACCCGAGGCCCTTTTCCGGAGCAAACGAAGTTCAAAGGGACTCCGCAGAGCAAGCTGACACCTGGCAGGTGTGGGAGCAGCAAGTTCTGCAGACAAAGGCAGGGGCCCCTGCTGCAGAAGGGTGGAATTTCCCAGAGCAACACCTGCGAGCCAGAGCTGTCATCCATCTTCATGCCCAAAACCTTTTCAAGAGGCTTAGGAAGGGCTAAGTCAGCAGCTAAGGCACTGCAGCTCACCTGAGACCTGCACGATGTTCAGACTGGGCCACTAAAACTTCCTGGAACAGCAACCAAGGACCCCACTAGTTAACCCGTGAGCTGCTTGTCCAACTGCCCAGGCAACACTGGGAGAATCTACATCTTTATCCCTGGAGACTTCCAGAGCTAACAGCAGCTCTGGTAATATGCCTCTTAAAAGAGTCAAGGCAGGGGGAAAGCTTGAGAAAGGGAGTGAGATTTGACAGGGAAAAGGAGTGGTGATTGCAGGAGTTCTCCTGGAGGCAGGTAATCCACACCAAGAAGACAGAAAACCTCAGCAGCTTTGATTTATAGGGAAATGCAGCCACCAGCTATCAAGTATCTAGAAGCTGAGCAATATTCCTCAATCAGAGCATATGGGGAGCAGAGAAAGCTCCCCCCAAGCACATGTGAAGTAACATCCACATAAGGAGCAAAATTTAGTGCCTCTTTTCTCCAGGGATTTTCATCACCTGGGCACAACACTAGGATTCTGGGATCTGCCTTCCAGGTATTGTTTGCAACTTCCAAAAAACCCCTCTGTTTTTGGAGTTAGCCAGTTGCCTGACCTCCTCCTCCACACTCCTTCCCAATCTCCTTCCCAAGTTTTTGAAAAGGTGGATCTACTTACTGTTTCAACCAGATACTGACCCAACTGTATGACATACGCAGTGACCCTAACGAAAAGCTGAACGAAGCAGCTTTGAGGCATGAGATGATGACCACACACCTGTGAAACTCATGTACTTCTGGCTGTTGGAGATCTTTTTGGAGTTGTAGAACTCCAGCACATCCAGCACTGCCTGGGGGTTCTTCTTCTGCTCCGACTTGGTGATGTTGGATGTCTGCAGCAAACGGGCCCATTGCTCTGGCATTCCCTGTTGGAGACGGATTTTGTTAGACTATAGTCTGGCTAATGTGAGTCACAGTAGAGGTACCTGTCATGTTAGTCCTGTTGCACTGTTTCTGGGGTTATTTTTGGTGCTGTGAAGAAAAAGAGGAGAAAAGAAGAAAGGAGGAGGATAAAAAAACAAAAGGTGGTGGGATGATATCGTCTCATCCGTCATCTCTGTTAGAAGTCACATAAATAGCACATATGTGGATACACAGATGCCACTGGATCTCCAGACTCTCTGCAAGCTCAAGATCCTTGGAAGACCAAAACTAAGGAGAAAGACGCGATGCTGCATTTCAGGAAGAGCCTCAGGAAAACGAGAAAAAAAATCTTTGCACAAATATCCAAGAGTGACTACATAAGTAACATATATTTTACAACATCTACTACAGTAGCTGTGCAATATTCATTAAGATCTTCTTGTACACTATAGCATTTTGCTAAGAGGGGTTTGGGGGTTGTTGGGCGACGATAACCTCAAATAGGAGGTCAGAACTTCACTACAGACACATCATTTCCAACAAATCTGGAGGACAATTTGACCTGTGACTTCCTTCCCAAGCAAGATCAACAGCTGGTGCAGGTGAAGCAGGAGGTCACTGGGATTCCTTTTGCTCAACACCGTTACCTTCCCTGTTTAAAGGGGCAATGGATGCACCACTCAGAGCCAATGCCCAGCTGGTATATCCAGGTTAACCTGGGCAGGTCTAGACGCAAGACACGCACAACATAACTGCACACATGGCTCAGGCTAGGAAAGCAAAGGCCCTGAAGAGGCAATATATTAAATACAGCTATAAGCAGCTTGCTCATAAAGAACTTTTGCTGTTAAATCCTACCTTGAGATCAAATTAAGAAAAATATGATGAAGTGCAGTGGTGGCTCCCTAATAATTTGGATGTCAGTAAGAAAAAATATGTAGCAGTATCTGTCATTTAGCCTAAGGAGGACACATGCACAGGGACACAGAGCTGGCTCTCTCCTAAAGGGAGCTCTGAGCCCCACTGAGAGGGCACAGACTGTGCAGTAGCCCTAATCCAACTCTAGAAGGGAGTGGGAATAAGGGGAAATGTGTTTTTTCCCACAGCAGCTGAAAAACAGGAAAAGGAAAGTTTGCTGGGGTGTGCCACATTTGACAAACAATCTCTCAGCAGGAATGAGGGGGCAGCTCCCTGCAGATGTTTTTCAAGCTCGATGATGGTAACAGCCTTTGTGGCATTGCTGTATGAAAGATTCATAAGCCCCAGCTCCTCCCAGTGAAGAGCAAAACCACACGATCCCCCTTTCCTCCAATGGACTCACTGTGAATTCTCCTGTGACTGCATCGAAGCCCACATGGATCGTGTGCTCGAAGTCTGACGGGAGGGAGATCTCTGGCCGCTCTTTCTCCTTCTTTTTATTGGCTAGAAGAAATCAGAAAAAAAAGGAAAATCCATCAAGAACTACGATCTCCCTGACCGTCTGCAATTCACCCACCCATAGACCCACTTTTGCCAGTCACAGGATTTCAATCTGAGGCAGATGTTCAGCAAGTTAAAAACAATGTTCACCTCATTTGAGAGCAGCTGCAGTCAGTGAACAATGAAAATCAGAGTCCCCCAGCACAGGACAAATATAAGACAAGGAAATTGATATTTGAGATAAGTTAAGTACCAACTGGCAGAGCTAGACTCAATAGCACAAGCACTATCCACCTAAAACACTCGCTCAAACCTACGTAGGTTGGAGTGGAAGGAACTGGAGCCTTGGAGCTTTGACACTTTTTGTTTGGTTTTAAGCAACATATGGAAAGATCCTTAAAAAAATATATGCCGTTAGTATGCACTCACCTCTCACATTAGAGAGGGACAAAACTAACTACAAATACCATTTATAAATTAACTTCCTCCATCCTACACCATCAAAACAGAGTTTATAAAACAAATGTAACATGGGCACGCTTCTGCTATGCAACTTTACACAAGTAAGAGTTATAAGTGGGTTATATCCCATCTGTGCAACCTCCTGCTCAAGGAATGACCTAAACTTGGTTTTAATGATGAGCTCTGAACACTCAGCAAGAAAACAGAGCAGAATGTGGCGGGCGAGGAGCAGAAGTCATGACAAACAGGAAAGAAAAGAAATCAAAACAGCTGCACCCTTAAAAATTTAAGATTATCATTATGTCTCCTATTAAGTTTATCTACATGGAATATGCAATAAAAACTCCACCTTTTTTTTTAATCTGCACACTACTCAAGAAACTGAGATCACTTTAAGGAAGAACCTCGTTCTACTCCCATTTGCTGCTCCTTGCAGTTAAATAAACAGAGCCAGGAGAAGGTGACTAAACCACTTATGTTCTCCAGCTGCTGTCTTATGTATCTGAAGTCCAAGAGTTGTTTTGTAGCTGATGTTTTCCAACACAAATGCCAAAAAACAGGTATTTCAGAAACATGCATGGCTGATGTTTAACGCGATTATTTAAGCTGCTTCTGCTGGTGAGATGTGTAAAGACACCGAGAGGACCAAATTCTGCTTTCTCCAGTGATGGGCTCTGGCACTGCTTGCTATTTCTGGAGAAAGAGAAGACTCGGATGCTCAGTTGGGGCATGGAAAAAGAACAGATTGTTTCCCATTTCCTCTTTCAGACAGGAGAATGGGGGAACTTAATCACAGAGGAATGACTGACTTACCAAAGTAAGTACAGAAAGCTGAAAGATGCTGTAATGCTGCCGTGGGTGAAACCACAATTGCTCTGTATAGATTTTAAATCTGTCTGACTGCCCCACTTGGGGTTTTATAGCACCTAGTCAAATACAACAGCACGTGAGTCCACACGTAGCCAGAACAGGAACTCAAGGATATTCCTTGGGGATTCTCGCAGGACAAGGAATGCCAGAAGCTTTTCATCTGAAATGTGATGGATCTAAAAGCCTAAATGTATTAAAATATTAATAATAAAATTGCTTTCTGTAGCAGGTATTTATGTTACAGCAGGAGGTATGAGCTAAAAGGAATTAAGAGAGAGACAGGCACTCCCAACCTGATTTAACACTTAATCCCCCTTTACAGTTGGATTAGCCTTGCCATAAGCCAAAAAATCCTCAAGAATCTTAAATAAAAGATAAGTACAAACCAAATACCTGCTTGGTTGGCCTACCAGCGAGTGCTTTATTCCTAAAATACCTCCTCATGAAAAAGGTGACACATCGGTACAACAGCCACTCCAGAAGCCTCCTCGGGATGCTCTGGCAGCTTCACAGAACAATTTCCAACAGCAAAGCGACATGGAGAGCCCATCCTAAAGCCTTCTGAGATGAGAAAGGTCTTTTCCACTAGCTCAGAGGAGCTGTGTGTGGCACACATCAACCTAAGCCTGCTTCCTCTCCCCAAATAGGACTTTGATTAGGCTACAGCCACAAAAATTACAGTGCTGCCAACTCATTTTGGAAGCAGCAAACAGATGCGGAGCTAGATCGTCCTGTATCAGGCCAATGTGCTTTTAAATACCAGATTTTGGTTTTCACCTGGGACAGATGAAACCAGGATACCAAATCACATCTTAGTTTTGCAAACAGAGCAGGGCAAAACAACCTAACAGGGGGCCACAGGTTAACAGAAGTGTGTGCGCCCCGCATGTGTTGAGGGCCAGGATTTAGACCCACATGGATTTGCACCATGGCAAATGAACAGGTCACAGATTTCCCTAAATTAATCTACTCCAATGGAATAGAAAAAAACTATACCAGATAAACCAACAAGCAGCATCCAAAGTGTTTCAGGTACAAAAGAAAAAAACACTCTGTAATAAACTCATTTACTACAGCAGCAGGCGCTGGGAACTTAGTTGCCATCTTAAAGGTTGGAAGAAGTTTTCATTAGATGAAAAACAACGAATCCTGAGTGAAGGTGACAGCGTTAAAGGCATTTTTCTGCAGAACAGGAGCTAGAGGACAGGAGCAATCACTGCTGCTTGAGCAGGTGCACTGCAACAGAAGGCTCTGCTGGGCTTGGCTACACAAAAACCTCTCGTGTCTCGAAGCATCTGCCACGTTGGCAATATCTGCAGGGAACGCAGGCATCTTAAAATCAATCTTAAAATCTCATTTTACCTGAACCATTCACTTTTTGCAGCTTTCCTTGAAAATACAGTTCAAACTAGCATTTCAGCCTTTTAATCTCTTCTAAATTTCAGGTGATTTCTTCACGTTCTTCAATTGTTGAGATTAAAGTTTTTTTTAAAGATATTCCTTTAAAATAAGCCAACCAAAAAGTTTCCACAGCTCTTTAAGATTAATACTCAAAACAGCAAGTTCTAACCCAGCTCCTGCAAGCTTTTAACACTGAGTTTATGGATTACTGAATTACACGGAGTTCACGGATTACAGAATCAAAAACACTGTCTGAAAACAATCCAAAGTTGCCAAAGGTATTTGATGCTTAATAATGAATACATTTTTTTTTGTAGAAACGAAAGTTTTCCCAGAATACTATCTCTCTTGCTTATTTAAAGCAGTAGAATTACCACTCCGAGTGGCTCTTGGAAATTGAGGAGATAGCTTCCCTTCTGAAGGTCATGAAACAGATGATAACCAGACTTCACTTCAGTTACCCGGTGTCCAAAAAGCTGATGCATTAGAAATAAGAACTCCCAAAATAGGCCAGATATAAAAAGAAAGCACAGGTTAGAGATTGGATTTTTTTTCCTGACATCACTTCAAATGATTCACATGATATATGTATTTTTAAAATACTTTGATCCTAAAAATTAGAATCGTACATACAGTTCACAGCTCTTAGCCCCATTTCCATCTGTTGTAGTTCCTATAGCAGGAGAAAATTCCTTCAGTTCCCAAGAAATGTGCAAGTATTTAGAGAGACAGATTATTCTTAACAGCAAGTAGACAGTGTCTGAACCAAATTCTAAAACAGGGCAAGATGAGAAATTACACTTTTGACAGTAAACTTGCCATAAGAGATCCTGTAGTAACATACGACAGCCCTGGCAGGAGATGTTAGACACACGGACTCAAAATTATCTGCTGTTCAAAAGAGCAAAGAAACAACCTGCCCTCATCCCTCCAAAGGGATTGCCAGTGGCCACCTTTGTACCAACTACAAGCAGGTCAGCTAAACATTTAAATGACTTTCCAAGATCACTGAAGTTGAGGTGGGAGAAGGAAAAGCTAGTCCCTGCTTTCAGGGATATGGCTATTGTAATTTAAAAAGAAAAAAAAAAAAGAAAAGCACAAAACAGATTAAGCAGGACTGATTAATTGTGGCAGGGTTAATTATTAGAAAACCACAGCCAGCAGCTCATGTTCCCCTAAATGACCAAGGCAGCTGTGTATGAAGAAAAAGCGAACCATCTCCTGAAAACTAAACCATAATTAAGTGGTTTTCATCTAAGGTCATCCTGAGCAGCGAGGAGGTTTGTAAGAACAGTCAAAACACTGTACTTTTATCTCCTGGCAAAATAGATCGGTAAAATCGGTCTCTCTTTTTCTTCTCCTCTGGGTTGGGAGGCAAAGGCTTTGAGCCGTGGTTTAAAGTCCCAGCATCTTTGCTCCCCGATCCGATCATGGTGCTGGTGTTTCTCATTGGAGGGGCAGGCGGTTTGTCTTCTGTTTCAACTCCATTGTTAGACATCTTCAGGTGCAGAAGCCGTTACTAGGAATAGAAAAAGAAAATTAAAATAAGAAGTTTTTTCTCTTTTTTTCCTCCAGTTAGATTCACATGCTGTCAAATAAACCACACACAAGTGTTTGCAGGTTACGCTACCTCCAGACTTTGTATCAACACAGACCAGGCATCAGCTCAACAAATTCCACTCAAATTCCAAGCGACTTTTGCTGACAAGACTATGTTTAAGTGTCTGTGTCATTGGCTGCCTTGAAAGGCTTATTTTAAGGTTTCACATCTGCCTAAAAAGAGTCAAATCACTTCAGCATCGGACTCGCTCAGGAAGCAGCAAGTCTGTGTTCATGTTAGTACGTGGCCTTCCCTCTCCACAGCAGCAGCACCTCCGAGTGCAAGTCAAAGAGTCAGATACAGCCAGACGCTTGACTGTACTTTGTGCTGTTGCAAGGGTCACATAACACTGAATCCCTAACATATACACTAATCCTTAAACAAATAACCCCGCTGTGTGAAGCTGGAGCAGGAAGCTTTTGCACAGAGCTGTTCTGCAGTGACTGGCTGGTTCCACCCAAGTGAGACCTGCGCTGCTCCAGGTACAGCCTGACTGCAGCGAGATCCTCCTGGAAAACAAAAATCCTCTCAGTTTTCACAGGAAAGTTGGGAGTTAACCATAAAGCAAAGGGCAAAGCAAGAACAATTTGTCAACAGGAAAATTCAACCGCTAAATGTCGCAGCTGCTGGCGAGGGCAAATCTTGTGTGATATGAAGAGCCTGGGGCCTCACGGGGAGGCTTTGCATGTTGCCACATCAGTGACATCACCACGGAGCCAGCACAGCAACAGCATCCAGAACAGCAACAATGCCAAAGTGTCACCTAAGATCTGTGGGGTTTGCACGGGTGCACGTTTAGCCAGCAGAAAACTCACTTATCCAGACCGGTTCGAATAAAAGAGCACCCAGGGCTCCCCCTCCTGCCTCCCAGGAGCTACATGTGCCTCTGAGATGGCAGGAAAATCTCCCTGGCCACCAAATCCCCCTGCAGTAGAGCAGGGAGACGGGGAGGAGAGAACTGGGGTTCTTTCTCGTCAAGAGGCACAGGATTAAGCAGGGCACAAAGTGAAGTTTACCATACGGGGAGCAGATGCAAAGCCGCGCTGCAGGGTGGTAAAGAGCAAAAGAGCAAGCGGTTTGGGGCTAGAGGGGAAAAAAAAAAGTGAGAAGAGGAAGGAAAAAGCCCACAAAACAGCCAGAGGTTGACCTAGGGCTGAGCAAAGGGAAGAATGAAGCTAAGTGAAAAATAACCACCCGCATTTTCAGCAAAGTGTAAAGCTCCAGGGACATCTGCTTCCAGTTTCTTCACCATAAGTGGGTTTTCAAGATCCCTCAGATGGAAAGGAATAGCTGTTTTACCACAGGCCTGGAAGCGCTGCCAGTACAAGCGCTCCGTTATGTTACACTGTGCTGTCCCCTGCCACCACTGAGAAGTCACAAAGCCCTAAGGAGCAACGTTCCTCAACACCTCCACTCGAGAACGGGGACGTTCACACGGCCCAAACCAGCAAAACGTCCTCTCCTTTCTCCTGCTTTGCTCAGGCTTCCCAGACCTTCCTCCTCACAGGGTCACGGAGCGGATGAGTTTGAAAGGGGCATCTGGAGAGGAGCCAGTGCAACTCCCCTGCTCAAGCAGGGTCTCCTACAGCACGTTGCTCAGGAAGAGCAAAATCTTGTGCGTTGGTATCAACCTGTTTGGAGAAGAGGTGGGAAAAAACCTTCAACCCACCAAAATGAGGAGATCTGGTTCTGTACTAGTTGTTACCTGCAACAACAGCCCCAACCTAGAGGGCTCCCAAAACCCTCCCATTTTCTATAAAGATTTTTGAAAGAAGGGAAAAATGCTTTACACACAACTTCCCACTGTGAGATAGGGATACGATCTATCCCCAAGCTCAACATCTTTATATTTTAAGCCTGCACTGGCTCCAAACAACATGGCTGAAATCCTGTCCCGAGGGAATTACATCCACCTCTCAGTGCAGCACAAATGAGGGCCCACAGATTTCCCCATCCATAGCCTGTTTGACTGCGCGAATTCCTTCCTTCCTAAAAAAAAAACCTGCTGCCAACTCGCACACAAGCAGGATTTTTAAAGCACCTCCCATGCGCCGGCTCCGCTTGAGCTTAGAGCCCTTCCAGGCAAGTGCTTCTCCAGCGGGGCACCCGGGCGCATCCAGGCGGGTTGGAGATCTCCAGAGCAGGAGACTCCACAGCCTCTCTGGGCAGCCTGTGCCAGGGCTCCGGCACCCTCACACCAAGGAAGTTCTTCCTCACATGGACATGGAGCTGCCTGGGCTTCAGCTTGGCCCCGGCACCCCTTGTCCTGGCACCGGCCACCACCCAGGAGAGTTTGGCCCCGTCCTCCCTGCACTCTCCCCTCAGGTCCTTGTCCATGTTGGTCACATCCCTCTCAGGCTGCTCCTCTCCAGGCTGGACAGGCCCCGCTCGCTCAGTCCTTCCTCACACGACGGCTGCTCCGGTCCCTTCAGCATCTTCGTGGCTCTGCCCTGGCCCCTCTCTAGCAGCTCCAGGTCCCTCTTGTCCCGGGGAGCCCAGAGCTGCCCCCAACGCTCCAGTGCGGCCTCCCCAGAGCTGAGCAGAGGGGCAGGATCCCTCCCTCGCCCGCTGGCAACGCTCCTGCTGCAGCCAGGAGCCCATTGGCCTTCTTGGCTATGAGGGCACAAGATTTATCTCCCATTTGGGCCTCATAATTAAATGAGCAACAGGAGCAATTAGTGCACGGGGAATCAGACGAGGGAATACGCTGTCGATGTAGACACAGTTCTTCTCAGCTGCTATATGTAACACCAGCACTCAAAGCAAAGCCCACGGACACTGCTGGACAAACATAGCCGTGATCTGGGACTGGAAGTCAGGAAACAAAACCACTTGGCAGCCCAAGACTTGTCTAACTGAAAACTATTAACCTTATGCCTGTATTTTTGCTGTAAATCAGGTACTTTATCCCTAGCTGTTCACCTAGCAGAGCTAGGATATTCGCTAAGTGGAGTCTTCTGCTATTAAAAATACACACAGACAAGGAGAAAAATAAGAGATGAAGCGTGACAGGCAAATGACTGATGGCGAAAGCAGAAAGCCATTAAAAATTCAGGTGGAGCTGAAACCCATGCTGCAGTAGATACCATGAAGATAACTATGTCCAATGCATACTAATTGCTGGAGTCAACAGGAAAACTCATAAAGGAGCCATCTATAATTCATGCATGCTGGCAAGGCAGTAGCTGTAAGCGACTCACTACAACTTATAGATGAATAAACTATATTAAATGGGAGAGGGGGAAGGGAGAAGCTCCAGCCACTGGTTTCCCCCCTCTCTGCCTACCAGCAAAGGCGCCTTCCACGCCGAGACGGTAGGATGGAAGGAACCCAAAATACCCTTCTTGCAAGTCCTGAACAACTTACTCAAGTTTTAAACACCTTTGCCAAAGCACAGTACATACGTCAGTACCTTGTCAAACACAGAGATGTGACATTTGTGATGAGAGAGGCAAGGCACGTGTCAGAAAATATGTTGAGTCGACAAACGCACAGAGGACAGTTTAGTGCTGTGGTCAGCAGAAAACCCTGAGTTAACCCGTTCCGTAAAAGCTAAACTCTTCCTGGGAGAAGAAAGTTGCTGCAAAGAGGAAAGCAAGGGCCTCGCAGAGGAAAAACTCACCCAATTCCTGCGTCTCGAGGAGACTAGAGAACAAGACGACTCATCGTCCAAAGCACAAGCATCGTTAGTGGATGAAGCTGCCCGAGAGCCTCAATTAGACCGCGAGGGAATCGCCACAGCAGCTCGGTCCTAATTGGAAATGCAAACGTTTACCCTGCGCGCGGTGCCGGCCGCCGTGCCCGGCTCCCGTGTCTTCACTGCAGCTAATGACGCCGGGAAGCCCCGTGTTCAGTAGCGTTTATGCAACGGACCAGCAAACCTGTCACATTCCCTTAACTGCCAGCCAGGATGCTCATTGTGGCAGCGCTTTTTGTTTTTCATCAATTAAATCAAATCACACGACCTGCTTCGGTTTCACGCTGCTTCTTTAAAGGCCTGGTTCGTCTTCAAAGTTGGGGAAGGAGGCACAGCAAAGCGTTTTCCCAAGATAAAGGGGGCTTTGTAGCAAACAGGCAGTTTTGCAGAGACACACGGAAAGCAAGAGCAGAGATCCATAACGGAAAGAGCTAATTTACAATCGGCAGAGACAAAACAACTTAAGAGGCAAGTGTAAATCTGCTTCAAGTCGGCAATGATTACTCCCTCGATTACGACATTTAGTGCTCTAAAAGCAGTTCATTTACAGGGCAAGATGAAAAAAAGCCTGAAGTACTTTAGGGTTTTCACACAGCTTAGCTTTTGCAGTAGAGCCATCCTCAGTCTATAGCAAAAAAATATAACAAAGCATCAGTTCTGTGCTTATAATAATATTCTATTTAGCAAAACGCTCTATTGAACACTGTTAATAACCCCAGTATGTGCAGAGGAAACTGCTGCCCTGCAGCAAGCTCTCATATTAGCAGACGCTGTTACTTTTATCAAATGGGCTGCATAACTTTCACTAGTCCATTAAGTATCATCATTACCGTTTATTTTATTTAGCAGGAGCTTCTTTTGAGGAGGTACCATCAGGCATTTTATCACCATCTTGACATGGATCCAAATCATACTTACTGCTTTGTGAGGAGAGAATAAAAAACTCCGAAGGTTAGAGTCCAGTGTGCAGCCTAGCAAGGCACAGATGTTCCTGATCATCCCTTCTTAATTCCAGCAATGAGGATTCAAGGATATTCGCTACCAGCACGGCCTGGCAGAACTTCCTGCTCATACCCTCACCTCAATGCTTCCTTGGGGCCTGGGTGTACAAAACACCTCTCACCTTGGTGTGAATTGCCCATATCCCTGCCTCTCCTATCACAAATCCAACAGAGTGCAAAACAAGATGTTTTAAAATTGAACTCAAAAAGTGAATTTAATTCACTTATTTGCTTAAAACCTCAGATGCAAACAAGGCAGGCAGGTTCAGAAATAGCTATTTCACAGGCCACTACAAATCCCACAGGCTGGTCCCTACACACCAGCAGGAACGTGTAGGGCAGCATTTCCCCAGCTAAACTTGCCCCGTTCACCTGATTATGGGGAGACCCCACAACTCAATCCACAACAGAACAGAATCTGATGGCTTAAGGAAATCCTCTCCTTGGCAAGCAGATGGCTGCTCTTTCCACTACTGCTCTCCCATCCTTCTCTTCAAGCTGGGTTTTCCTCCATTCTTGGTGTTCTTGTATTGCTGGTACTTGCAGGCACTGAGCATGGCCTCCCAAATTATCCCTATTTGGCTGCTTTTATTTTTTAGAGAATTCATTTCAGGCTGGAACTGCATTTTTTTTTTCTCTCTGAACATGCTTCCCCGTATGCCTAATTTTACCTGAGAACCTCTCTAGTCTATCTGAGGACCTGAGAAAATACACCACCCTAACCACAGCCTCAAAGTTTTATCTCTGCTGTCCTACTGAAGTATTATAACAGACATCCAATTCTGTGGTCTGTCATTATCTAGCTCCCTTTAGCACTAAAAACAGAAGTGACATCTGAGCCTGATATTTCAGCAGGGTTTGAATTTACATCCCCATACCTGAAACTCTCACAGGATTTTGCTGCTTTGCTTTGAAAAGGCTGGACTGAGCTATCTGAAGCAGAAGCGGCCAAACCCCAAGCCACGACTCTTTGAAATGGGCTCTCAAAAAGAAGATCAGTGCAAACCAACCCACAAATCTGTCATTTTAGTATCTCATGCCATCAGCCTGCAGCTTGTAGCTTAGATCCAGGGTGATGTATTGTTTCCAAGCCCAGCTCAGCTGCTTCCTAACAGGCCCTCCCCTGTGGAGCATCTGTATTTTGGCTATTTCCTTGGAGATTCATTAACCTTTTCCCTCCTCAAAGGTTGAGATTATTGGCGTTTTTTCCTCGGACTACATTTCTAAACATTCAAATGACCTGTCAAAACAGAGAAATAAATAAATCCAAGGAAGTATCAATTTGTAACCTCTCTATCAAGGCATCCTAGGTAAAAATAAGACCTAATTTTTGGCTAACGTATTTAAGCACTGTTTGCTATTTAGGCATGCCTGTATATCATTTACATATCATTTTACTCTTTCTCTTAATGGCAGTGTCCTCAGAGGGAAAGGGTGAATTAGAATACTGGTACCTCTAATTAAGGAGGCAATTAGATCTATGACAACAATCCATAGCTGAATGTATGCTAAAAATAGTTTGGTTAGAGTTCTGCTTTAATTAAAAATCAGGCAAATAATCCCATTATCTTGAGGATTACTAGTGGTGTGGTTCTGCTCCAGCACAAATCTTTTTTTAAAATAAAAAGTCCTTTAGTCTGGCAATTGAAAAGCAACTGCAAAAATCTAACAGAAAATTGTTCTGTCTGCAAAAAATGTACCTCTCCCAATTACAGAGGTCAGAAAATTTGAGAAAGATTATCAGTGTCATTCTATCACTTGCTAAACTGCTAAAAACATTTTTTTAAAAAAAAAAGGCAACTCAGTTCAGCAATTTTTTCCTGTTCTTCTACCCGCTACCTGCAAAACCTGCCTTAAAGGGGTTTCTTATTATCTCATATTCCATCCTTGGCTTCCTTTGTCAAGGAGTAGCATGCGACTTTCCTACAGCTGCACAGTTCACAAGTTTTTATTAAAAAAGAAAAATAAAAAAGAAGTATTTTGAAAAACATCTTTCATTTCTGGATTTGCTCTCACACGCTCTGTGGGGCCCTGCTGCGTAACAACGTTTTATCCACAGAATACAGCAGCACAAGGCAGATTAGTTGCCAGAGCCTCTTAAGGGCTTGTGTCACTGGGGTGCACAAGGAGAGAGCAAAAGGAGCAGGTTTCCAGAGAGCAGCAGTGCAGAAGCAGAGCAAGCCACTCATATAGGTGACTTGGCAATTTGTTTACTTAAAAAAGCAGAAATGTATCTTGTAAGAATCCAGAACGCATAATTATCCTCAAAAATATGAAGTACTACCTGTAAAAAAGAAGCTGTAAAAAGCTATAATATAGTATACAAGTAGTATTCAGTATTACTCAGTGGCTTCCCTACTTCTGTAACTATACGTACACCCGGACTCATCTTTACTCACTTGTAAAGTTCCTGACACCCTCGGAATATCCCCACACTAGTTATTTTTAGCACTTGCGTGTGCAAGTCCAATGAACTGGTGAGTGGAAACAGATTTTGCTCACGCTGGTATTTAAGAGCAAGACTGTAATGAAGTTTGCCTGCCTCCTCCCCAGCCTGTCTCCCCCAGATGCAGGCTGGCAGCTAGAGAGGATGGTCTGAGAATGCTATTGGGGATGGAGCAGGGGATTATGGAGCGGGAGGATTTTCCTTATTAGAGATCAGAACAGCCAGAGACTTTGAGGAGCTGTGAGGAGACTAAAGCTTCACTCCCTGCTGCTAGGATAGGAGGGATGCAGCAAGACAGCACGGCCCAAACACCCCTTTGGGGACCCACTCGTGGCCACGCAGCTCCTTCAGAAGGTGCCACTTGCTTCTACAGCAGCAGCTTTTGCCCAGCACTGATTCTGAGAGCTGGTGCTAGATCCTGACATGATGGAAGCGCTGGGAGAAGGACAAAAAAGACACAGGCATCAGCCTCGTTCAAAGAGCTCCATCCTTACGAGTTCAAAGCAGCACCAGAATATTTTCATAGTTTTGGGGTTGGAAGAGGATCAAGCTGGCAATAAATGCAGGCTTGCAGTGTTTCTAGGACGCTTCTAGCTTTAGAGTGAGGCACAGCTGACACAGACGTTAAAAAAACTAAGCGTGTTTGCCTGGTTCTCAGGGGGATTTAAACAGCAGGTGAGTAGGGCTGGTCTCTGGGACATGACCTCTTATTTCAGCTATTTAGATGCAAATTGCTCGCTCCCCCTCTCCCTCTTAACACCATCTGTTACCCCAGAGGTTTAGCCTAGGCCTAGGTTTGGGGGGAAGGGGGTATAAATAAAGCATTGAGAAAATTTCAGGCAATGCCTCTATTTCCTCCAGGGCACAGTTTAGCGGGGAAAAAAAAAAGAAAAAAAAAAAGCCACTTTGCAATACTACTAAGTTATATTCTTATAACTTAGAGTTATATACTCTTCTGCCACACTGTAACCACTTACCTCTTGGATCTCCTACCCTGGAGAGCATTTCCTGCCCTGCCAGCAAGGGTGCAGAGTGACACTTGGTGCAGGCTGCTACAGCGTCAGCACAGGGAGTAAGTTGGTAGTAGGGCAAATACACAAGCTTCAAGGAATTGAAGGGTCAAAAAATAAAGGGAAAGCCTATAAGCCCCAGGATTAAAAGATCTCAGTCTTGGGGAAGTCTCTGTCTCACTTCTCCCCAACAGCAGCTCACGTTCTAGAATTGTTCAGGGACCTGGTTCATTAAACATGACACAGAGGGCTCTGGATTCCTCCAAAGGAAAGATCCCAGGTGAGTAAAAGGCCAAGAAGATGGTTAAGAAAATGGAGCATGTGGCATGAGGAGAGGCTGAGAGTGCTGGGACTGTTTTGCCTGGAGAAGAAAAGGCTCAGGGGAACTTTATCAAGATGTATGAAAACCTGACGGAAGGACATACAGGAGACTGGGCAGGAACCTTCTTGGTGGTAGCCACGGAAAGGACCTGGTGGACACAGGCTGAAACATAAGGAATTTCACTTCAACATAAGAAAAAAACCTATTGTTACTATGAGACTACAGAAGACTGGGTTGTCCAGAGAGGTTGTGGAGTCTCCAAACATGGAGATATTCAAAAGGTGAGTGAACATGGTCCTGAGCTCCAGCTGACCCTGCTTGAAGCAGGGAGGTGCGACCATCTCCAAAGGTCCTTTCCAATCTCACCAATCCCGTGATACAGGCCTCAAAAAGTGGCAGGGAAACTTTAATAGAGAGACATTTCCATGATCATTTTTAACTCCTTATTTGAAGTAATTGGATTTCTTTTTTTTTGGGGGGGGGGGAAGGTTTAAAAGTGGCTAAGGCTCCAATTTAGTGATGAAGGCAAATAAAATGATAACCTGGAAAACAAAGTCAGAGAGAGTTTGGAACAGATACTGCAATGTCCTTGTTTTGCTCAGTTTTAAGGTGTGAATCACAGTACTCGTACTTGGGAGATGCAGGTTCTTGTCCTGGTTCTTGTACCAACCTATTTTGTGATTTTTGGAGGCACTGGGAGGCAGAAGAAATTACTCTTCGTTTCTCTTCATCCAACTCAATCTTTGGAAGAAAGGCAATTCAAGCAGTTAAAACACGACTAGCATGAAAAAAAAAATGATTTCCAGGTGCTTCTGCAATTGCAGTTACCACAAGCAGAAAAAAAGCTGCCAAAAACAAAATAACCCCTGGCAAATCATCCCTGACACATGTGATTGTGATGGGGAACAAGAGCAGAGAAGGGAGAAAGGGGAATGAAAGGATGGTGGAAAAGCCCTCCCCACACTACAGGTTGGATGATGTGACAGGAAAACCCTCCCTACTCTCAGGTAGGAATAAGAGGACACTTGAAGGGAAGTGTGAAAGCAAGAAAATGCAAGAAAGAATCAGCTGCAAAGCCTCAAGCTGAGCAAATTCTTAGGTTGTTCTTGTGCAACATTAAACATTGAGACAGTTTCAAGTAGATTTTGTAGTGAGGTGCAGAAGAGAAGTTCTTTCTTTGGCTGGGAAATACATCCTGCTAGGCCAGCTTTGCACAGCAGTGGTTTTTAAAAGTTTGGGGATGGTGTTTGGGCCTGCCTTTTTTTTTTTTTTTTTTTAGTGCTGAGATTTTGTGTTGGTTTCTGCATGTGGACGACACATTTTTCCCCCTTTCTTGTACATGCAGGCCAGGAGCCCATCACTTAGTGCCAGCCAGAAACTTCAGGTACCTACCTTCCAACTAGTAACTCCTATTGACAATAAGCAATTCAGAATCTCCTGCAGCAAAGCAGTATTTTGACAAAAGTTGCAGGTATTTCACAGCATCATTTTAGTAGAAAATCAATTATCTCAACAAAAGGTGGTTTCAATAAAATTGTGACATTCTGAAAGAACTCCAAGTTTTCACTTCGCAATAAAGTGGTTATTTTCCCTCTGTTTATGAAAA